CACTTGACTAAGAATGAGCTTTTGCTGTACAGTAACACGTTCAAAAACAATTTCGGATCTGCAGTGCCACCTTCCTGCCTGCCTCCTATATGTTACTATTGGGTGGTAGCCTGCTTTTTATTTCTTTCTTAATCAGCAGGGATCCTGGCTTTCTATGACTTTAAAAAAATCCAAAATTCTATGATGGTCCAAAACTCGTGTTTTTCCGCAATATTAAAATTAAATGCCATATACAAATTGCTTTAAAATTGTAAATATATTGGATACATTTACAATTTAAAATTCTACAGGCAACCCCTGCTTAACGTGGTTTCACTTAGCACTATTTTGCTATAGCGCTCATTTAAAATTAATATCTAATTTCAATTAGTGCTGAGCCAGTTTCACTATAGTGCTCAGTGAAGCAGTGGCAAGGAACGGTTAGCGGCAGCAAGTAGGCGGCCTTCAGCAGGGCCCAGGGTGGGGAGCAGGAGCAGGGTGGGGGTGGGGAGAAGCGGCAGGGGCAAGAAGCAGCAAGTGGGGCGGCAGGCATGAGTGTGGGGCCCCTGCCAGAGTGCCAGAGCTGGCAGGAGCATGGGCCATGGGCTGGCACATGGGGCTGGAGAAGTGGTGGTGGAGAGAAGTGGTAAGTACGGGGCCCCGTGGTGCCAGAGCTGGCAGGAGTGCAGGCCATGGGTTGGCACATGGAGCGGCCAGCAGGCAGGCAGAGGGGTGGGGTGAGACAGTGGTGATGGTGAGAAGCTACAGTAAGAAGCAGCAGTCACCAATTATTTCTATTTACAATATGGGGAAATGAGTTTCGCTTAACGTGGTTCCGCTTAATGCTTGGTTTTCCCAGAACCAATTAAAAGTGTTAAATGGGGTTTGCCTGTGTATGTATCAAATTTTGTGTGTGTGTATTACCAGGGTACATCTACATGTGTGCTTTAATGTTATTTTAACCCATTTTACTATGCATTAAAGCGTTGCACTTTCACTACTGCACATTAGGGGAGCCTGATGCACATGTATTTAGTATCTCCAACATGAAGCACTAAATAAATGTGCACTAGGCTTCCCTAATGTACAGTAGTGAAAATGCATACTTTTTTAATGTGTTAGGAAAAGCACATTAAAGCATATGTAGATGCACCCCCAGTACCTCAATCATTTATAATAAAAAAAAAATTGTAAATACCTATATATTTGGGGGTTTTGTTTTGGTTTGTTTATCTTTGAAAATCAGAGCTCCCCCTGCCCCTTCTCACTAGGGTGTGGGTCCAGCTGAGGCTGTCCCTTCCTGCTGCTTTGTGGCATTGAGCAGCCCTGATATGCCAGTACCTCTCACTCCCAAGTCACAGCTCCCCTCAGGCCTTCCAATGTGACCCATACTCCTCTGCATAATTTGCAGGCAGAGCTGGCCTTAGGGGTGGGCAGTGAGGGCAACTGCCCAGAGGACCAGAGTATGGAGGGACTGTCATGCCACTCCAGGGCAGGGCCCCACCTCAGCTGGCGAGGGGCAGAGGAGGAAGCACTAAGCTGGGGGTGACCCCTATTCCCAACCCACAGCTCCCTGCCCCCCCAGTATGTGGGGTGGTGGCGGTGCAGTGTAGTAGGGGTGCTCGAGCATAGGTGATGCCACAGGCAACGTGTTATGAGAGCCGGAGGTGGGGAGACGCATGCTCTACGCCCAGATTTTTTTCCCCACAGTGTGGCACAGTGCTGTAGCCAAGCTGGACCGGCACTAGGTAGAAGCCATCACTGCAGCCCAGCAGGCAGGCTCTGGCACGGAAGGCAGAGTTGGAGGCTGGGATTTGTTGCTGCTGCTGCTGCCACAGCAAGCCCCACAACAGCTGTGCCACCATGGTGAAGCTTCCCCTGCCGACCACTGCAGTGGGGAGGCAGAAGCCACCTCCACTGTGGTGGCAAGCAGAGGATACCTTACCTTCACAGTGTGGCTGATGCAGGGTTCACGGCAATGGTTGCAACAAGTCGCACTGCCCGCCTCCACCCTCCTTTGCAGGCTTCTGCCTACTGGGCTACAGAGGTAGTTCCTGCCACTGATGACAGCCTGGCCAAGTGGCAGCCCTGTGCCCCACTGTGGGTGCAGAAATCTGGGGGGGGGGCATGTGCCCCCTACCCACTCCATGTCCACCCAACTCATTGACACCGGTGCTCAATCCCTCCCCAGGAGTGTACACAGTGGTGGGGAGCAGAGTTCCTGCTTCTTTCCTCTCCTTCCCCTTCCCCCTAGACAAGCTGCCTGTGGCTCTGTGCCACTCCCCAGCCAAGGCCCTACAGTGGCACATTCTAGCCCTAGGTACCACACAGCATCCTCAGCCACCAAACGTTCCCCACTCCCTCCCTCACCGTGTGGGCTTGGTGTGAGCCACCACCTCCATTTCCCAAGTTGTGTGCGTCATCACCCCTTCCCCTCCTTCCGCCCCCCCACACACACATTGCCTATGGCCCCCCTCCTATAGACTTACCTGCAGGCAGCTGTGGGAGCTGCCGTCCACCGTGCTGCCTGGGGCTGTATTACCAGCCATGTGCATGTACACATATAACCATGCTACCCTCTGCCTCTTATCACCCTCCTCCCACTCTCCTCAGTCCCAAACAGCCTCTTGCAGGTTGGAACTCTGTCAGCCTGCAAGGGGAAATCCATCGTTTCCCACATTTTTCTCCTTTAAAGGAGAAAATCTATGTTTTCCCAATGGAAATCTCAGATCCCTGCTAATCATATATGACATTTTCCTTTTGATGTGGGTAGAATTATTGTGTTAACTAACCTGCTTTTTTTCTAAATCAAGAAAAAGGAAAGAGCCACACAGAAGCTAAAGAGGACCTAATACATTTTATTTATAACAGTCTTGTAATTATAGCCTGGCACTAAAAATGGGAATTTAATACAGATATTAGACCCTTTTGGTTTAATTGCACTATATTATGCATAAATAATCTCTTACCATTAACTTTATATTTATATTTTCCTTTGGCTTGAGTGATACTTTTCAATAGTTCTGTCTTCAACAGAACTTGCTTCATGAAATCTTGCTTTTGAATGCTCTGGTTTGTTTGTTTTTCCCCCCCAGGTGAAAATTCTGACCCAAAATGAGAACGGCAAGCTGCAAGCTGCCCTTGTTAGCAATTTGAAGAGTGCAGTCACAGCAGCCTTTCTCATGTTGCCAGAAAGTTTCTCTGAAGAAGATCTCTATATGCAGATTGCAGGACTTTCCTACTCTGGTTAGTGTACACATTTATAACCTCTTTTGAGGAGTAAAGCCTGTGTTTGGGGGAGTATCATACTTTGTAGGTGGAGCTGTAGTAATCTAGGTACGTTGCTAGGGGTCATAGGAAGTCTGAGCCATAAACTCAAAAGTAAGTAGGCCTTGGTGAGACTGACTATTAAATCTTTAATGTGGCCTGATTCTGCATGTGAATTTGGTGACAGTTTTGGTATTGATTTCAGTTGAAAAAGTCACTGTCCCATCACGTGTGCTAACATTTAATGCTCTGGTAACTTTGTGAGATTTTGGTTCCAAGGGAGATGAACTGAAAAGTATAACTCAATCCAAAAGGAAAAAATAAATATAAAATTAATGTAAGAGATCACTTGTGTATATTATAATGCAATTAAGCAAAGAGGGTCTAATTTCTATATAACATTTTCATTTTTAGTACTAGCAATGAAAATGGTTTGGGGGTTAGGGCATATGACTGAGGAGATGCTGAGGGAACTGGGCTTATAGAACAGAAGTTACACACAAACTAGTTTAAGTGATCATAAACTGGTTTAAACATGTAACAAAACAAGTTCAGTGCAAAATAAACCTCTTTCAAAATGACTGAAACTGGTTTAAGATAAACCTGGCTGAATGTAGTTATCAGACTTAACTGATTTAGGTCATACCAGTTTATGGAACTTCTGTCCTAGACCCCTTCATGGTTTAAGTTAACTCGCAGTCCCCCCACATCCCAAGATGCTTTGCAGCCCTGGGCTGGGCTGTCTGCTCCAGCAGAGCAAGGTTGGCCCCAACCCTCTCCTCCCTAGCCAGAGTACTATCACTGTTCTGGCTGGCTGAGAAGGGTGTAGGGATGGGAAACCCAGTAGCTTGAGGGGAAGGGAGGGGTTTAATCCTCCCTCTGTCCCCATTCCCACTGGCATAGGACCCCAGTCAGGGTCTGCCTGGCTGCTCGTCCCCAGCCCCC